ATCTTAGGGTGATATCAGATATGCTATAGGTTTCCCATATATATCATTACTTTTTGAATTCGTAGTTTTAAGCCTCAAAATACAACTTGAAGGGCCTTTGTAAATTAGGTAAGTCTAACGCACGTGATTGTGCGATCCTTTCAATAATTGGAGTTTTTCTTCCCTTTTTCTCCAATTCAGAATTTCAGCTAGACTTAATGAGACGATATAAGAGGGCAGCTCTAATTGTTAAGCGATGATTGAACTTAATGTATGCATGAGCGCTCATAAAGTCTTGACTCCATTTACCATTTTTGATCTTCGCGATTCCTATATAACTTTGATTTTAAGACACAAATTTTGGCTCGCTTTTCCCTGCAACGAAGCTATACTTAGATAAATAGTTGAAGGCAAGCTATTTTGCAATTTCTGAGGTTACGTAAGGGCTAGTAGTCAAATAAATTCTCAAAGATTTGTTCTAGATATTGTAGGTGAGGCTTCCAATTATTACTAGATATAAATATGTAATGAAAAATAAATCAAAATTGCATATGACATGAATTATATTTTTCAGCTTAGCATCATATTCATAAGGAATAATATTTTAAGATACTTGTAGATGAAGTCATCATGCAAAACCTCTTCTACTTTGTTTGTGGTGCCTTTAAGATTGTTTTTATATAACTTGGATGAGGTTTTTATTTTGTGCCAATGATAAATAGATAGGGTATTTGTTTTGTGTGCAAGTATAACTAATTAATTCCTCAAGTATACTTTGTTTGGTTTGGATTACATTTTTAGTTTTTACTGCTTAGCTTTTGGACATTCTTCGCATGTTCTCGGGTAAAATGAGAAAAGGAAAAAGACCGAGCAAGCACTTGATTCTTGTCTCACTGATTGAAGTGCAAATTTATATCCCATTTGGTGCGACTTTGAGAATTTCACTGGGCTTCGGCTCTCCACTCCACACACAAAATAAATAAAAGGCACATATAAGAGAGTAAGAGGTAGGTGGAGAACAATTTTGTTTGATGTAAAAGAACGTAGAATTCCTCTTCTTTTTAGGCCACAGGCGCCTGACTGTTTGGCTTTAATCAGGGAACTACCATGTGAAATAAAGGGATAAGGATAAATATAAGAAGATGCTAAAACTAAGAGAGTTAAATAGTAGCATCTATCCTGAACCCTTCTCGAGTATATGTTTTGTCTTTGTTCTTATGCTAACTCAAATGATATTGTTATATGCTTAAAAATTGAGTAGATTAAAATTAAGCTAAAAATTATTAATAGTTCTTAATGTTGATATTTGCATGTAATATGATGAGGAAGGGACCTTGTTTTACCACTTTAATGCAATACATTCTTTTCATGCGATGTAATTTAGATATTTAATGAGATTTATGAGATGTTATTTTCTCTTATGCTGTATTTTCTTGTAAACAAATTAGGTTTACCAGTCTGCATGTGGTCAATGACAGATAATGGGTTGGATCAGGTTGCTAAAACTGAAAAATCATCAGTCATTAGTGAAGGAGAAATTTTTCTTGGAAATTCTCCCTCCATGGTAGTTTTTCCACGACAAATAATTGACTTACCCCCATTGAAGATGGAAGCGGAAGAATCATCTGAGGATGCGAGCCCTCATAACATATGGCAGGTAATGCGCTCCTTACCTACTTTCATTTCTCTTCACAATCTATAGATTTCTTCTTTTTAATTCTTCGTTTTTCTTTGCCATCATAAAAGGGCTCCTTGATTTGCTCATCTATCTGTGCTTGCTGAAACATTTGATTTTTTCTTAAATTGCTTTCCCTTTTAATAGAAGATTTACACTCATTTCTGTCTTTATGTTAGTGTTGGTCCATTGTCATTTTTTTTTTGTTTTTTTTTTGGGTCAATTATCTTACCCAGATACGATTGTTAATTCTTCAAAATTCAGCAAATTAAAATTGAAATAAATATGAACTATGGCGCTCTATCTATGATTTAGTTAGAGAAGGATCAGCAGTCCGTGTTGATATTGCACTATTTCTGCCTAGAAAAGGGACACTCCGGTGTCATGATGAGAATATAAAGCTAAGAAGCCAGTCAATAAGATTATTAGAATATTTTTATGGCCACTTGGGAATTGCTGATAGAGGGTTGTATATGTAAATATGATGACTGTGAGTTAAATTGTAGAAGATCCTTTTGTATTTGTTGATGCATTTTTTATTTCTAGCATTTGGAGCCAATTATAAGTGAAGCGTTTAACTTCATAATGTATTGGGGTTAGGGCTTATTTTGCAAGAAGGGGAGAGGGTTAGCTTTATATGATGAGAATAAATCTATGTCCTGCTATCTCTGTCTATTGTTTTGTGCTAGAATTAGAATTCACATATTCATGTCATGGAAGGAAACTTGGGTCTTATTGATTCATTTCGAGGAAAGGAATCAAAATCCCACAGATATATGCTAGGGGAAAAAATATTCATTTATGAGCTTACTTGGGGTAGTAATTGGGATGTTTGTATCCAATTCAAAGCCCAGTATATATGAATCTGTGTGTAAGTTTAAAAAAATTCTAAACTTTTTTGGGCGTGAAAGCATATTTTGAGCCTGAATTTAAAATATAGTAGTATATATTCAACATAGAATGTTATTTGAATTCTAAACTTTTTTGGGCGTGAAAGCATATTTTGTGCCTGATTTTAAAATATAGTAGTATATATTCAACATATAAGCGTATATTTTTTTCATGTTTTGATGTAGACTATTTTCCTCCTTATTTCTTTTTCTTAAAATCACTTTATATATTTCCTTGTATCAAGTGACTGAAGAGTAAGAAAAAAACTATCCTGTTCTTGTGTTCTCCAGATGATATTAGAGCCCTATGCCTTTTTTTCTCAGCCTTCTAAACCTAACAATAACCTTCATTACTGCATATACTCCCGCAACTGCAACCTCTATTGCTACGGTCTTTTTGCCGCAGTCAATTCCAATTTCCAATCACAAATCTATAGTACTGTAGCAACCAGATTTGATTCGCGGTTATTGCAGTCTTCTTCTGCTTCAATAATGGCTCTAAAATAATAGCTTGTTCTAAAAAATGCAGCAACATCTTCTCAGCAATATACAACCTGGTAAGTCCAAAAACTTTCTTCTTCGCAATCCTGTTCTCAGATTTGTACTCACCAAAATGGAAAATTGGGGAGGCCATTTGGTGTCTCAGAGTACAAGAAATTCTTAATTTTTGATAGGTCATTAGGTGTCTCAGAGTACAAGAAAATTCTTAATTTTTAATAGATTTTACCGATGAAAATTTTCATAGGTTATCAAACTAATCTTTGTAAAAATGGATAGATCGTGGAAGGTTCTGATAGGCATTTCATTACCCTTTTTGAGACTATCAGGCGATTGATGAATTTTATATCAGCCTGAATTTAGTACCGACAAAAGATTCGATGGTTCGTATTTGGTCCCTTTCCCTTCCCCATTAATTATTTGAAACCAAGAGCTCCCTGTGCGAGCTACTTTGTTAATTTTGATTATTTTCCCTTCGCCACATACTCCACTATTTTTTGTTTGTTTTTCCATCTTGTTTGCTTGCAATCTTCTTTCAGTCCAGTGCATTTTTCTCTTATTTTTATTTTGATTTTCTTCTTCAATTTTAAACTCTAGCACAAATGTTTCAAAGGAGTTTTTCTGTTTTTAGAAAACGAGAAAACAACGGGAAGATGGCTTGTCTTTTTAAAAGTTAGAATAGTGGGCTTTTTGATATGTTATTAAGGATTTGGATGGTGTAAAACGCAAAATTTATGCGCTAGATATGTAAATGCATATGAATTAGGTGGTAAGGAAAAATGCCAAAAAATACTGTTTATAGAAAGTTTTAGTTCTAGGATTGAATTATAAAGAAAATATGAGATGAAATTTAGAAAGGAATAAATTATGGAAAAGCATTAGTGTAGTGTGCTGTGGTGACAGTATTAAAACAATGGTTTTTTGGGGTAACGTCTTATCAATCCCTTTTGTTAATTATCTCATCTCTTTCTCTCATCCCTATTATGATTTTGACCACGTTTTATGTAATTATATATAATTGATTAATCCAGTGAGATGAGGTGAATGTTTGGAAAACTTAAGGATTTATATGCTTATGTTGAAGTGGTGCAATTGTTAACAACATCTTACGAAGGATATGACCCTGGAAGTTAAAACTAGAGTAGTTGATCTCTATGTCAATTCATATGTAATATTTGAAAACTATTCACAATTATATGTAATTTTTGAAGTTTTAAATTTTAATAGTTAGTAATGCCTCTGTACTGACAATTGTTTTGTAGAAAATATATATAAGTAGGTTTGATTTTATTAGATATTTTGTACTACGGAAAATTTGATTGTAAATTTTTCATGCCTCACTGGCATTATGTCTACGATCCATCTTAATTGTGATGATGTTTCATTTGTAATTTGCCAATGTTGTGATGAAAGCCTGTTAAAAATTTGCAACAGTTATTATGACTGAAAAGTTTTTCAGTAATTATGAAATTTTTAGTGTCAATCTCAGTCTCGCTTGGTAGAGTAAATCCGCCATACTGAATGACATGAGAAAGGAGGACTTCATAGTGAAGGTATTGAAAACTCGAGGTTTGATAGGATCCATTTAGAAGGATACTTCTAGTACACACTAGTACTCTCATATAAGTTTCTATTTTCTTTTGGGTTTCATGAATCAGAAAAGTTTGACCAACTGTTGGATAATTGACTCAGCCATTGATCCATGACTCACAACTCAGTATCTCAGCTCTTACACTCCATTTTTTAGAATTAACAAACATTTTATTGTTCAAAGTGATGGTGATATGGATGGGGATGTTGCTAGTAGAATTCAAGTTAGTTGGTTGAAGTGGAGGAATGCTTCTGGTCGATTGTGTGATAGAAAAGTACCGCTTAGACTGAAATGAAAATTTTATAAGATAGTGTTGAGACCTGCAATGCTCTATGGTGCTGAATGTTGGCCTTTAAAAGGGAAGCATAAAACTAAGTTAAGTGTTGCTTAGGTGGACGAGTGGCTTTACACCTAGAGACAACGAAATGAATATATCCGTGATAGGGTTGGTGCAGATCCAGTGACAGACAAAATTAGAGTGAGTCGTCTTAGATGGTTAGGTCACATTAAATGTTGACCATCTAATGGTCAAGTTAGGAGAGTAGATGTTTTAGATTTGACTTACGTTAGGAAATGGAGAGGTAGACCTAAAAAGTCTTGGGTATATTGTATAAAAAATGATCTTAATTTATTAGAATTAAATGAAAACATGACTCAATAGGATGCAATGGAGAAAAATGATTCATGTAGCCGACCCCACTTAGTGGGATAAAGGCTTGTTGTTGTTGTTGTTCTCTTCCTCAGAGATACACATGTTAGAACTTCTCCAATCCTTGAAAGATCCTTCATATTTTTTATGTTTTGGAAAGTCTCATTCCAAATCAAAGGATTTTAAAATATCTAAGATGTGTTTTTTTTTATTCTTTTCATTATTTTTAAGGTTTGAGATTTAGGAAGAAGATTGAACTTGCAAAGCAGATGGACATGCTCTACTATTTTCAAAACGTGAATGCTTTAGAAATCATTTAGTTTGCTGAAAATATGCGGTGTAATTGAATTGTGGTGTATTTGAAATATTTTGGAGTTGCCTGATTTGTTTTACTGTTGTAAAACAAATGCATGAGTTTTACTTTTGTGTTGGGGAAATAAAATAAAATCAATCTAAGCATGACAACAAGCGGTTGAAGGCAGTGGTTGGAGGTGTTGATCAGTGGGTTGGGGTTATGGATGACGGCTGGTGGGGCCGACAGTGGCAGTATGCGGCACCAGGTGGTCGTTATCGACAAGAATGGCGGTGGGAAATGGGCGACAACCAAAGGGGGGGAGGGGCATCTTACATGTTTTTTCT